ATATCAGGAGTTTTCGCGTGAGTAAGCTTGGACAGTTGCGCCATAATGGAAGTGCCCTTTGCTCGGTGTCTCATCATTCACATTTTGAAGAAAAGTTTAAGAGGACCGTCCACGTATACTGTTTCAGGAATGACAAAGGCGAGTGTAAAAAATTACGCGAGTGAATCCACCAAATTGATACGCGATTGACGTTGATAACTGTAGCAATGGACGTAACAAACTATTTGACAAGCCGATGTCAAAACAGAGCTGCGCTTTAAGTGATGCAGAGTAAATTCAGAGAAACAAAACTACAGCAGCAACAAGTCTGTGTTGCCTTTAGCAGCTTCTACAGGTAAAGATAACTTAAAGCTCTCATTTGATGTGTCCTTTTTAGGCAATGTTTGAAAAAATACATTTTTAAATTAAATTTAAAAAAATGCCAAAATATTTAAAGCATTACTTAATTATTATACCAGTAATAATTAACTTAATTTGTAGTTAACTAGTTAAGTATTTAAATAATTTACCATACTAGGCTGTTGGTGTCTGGGATTTATTTATTTATGTATTTAGCAAAAATAAATAATTTACCAAGTAAATAGTGATAATCTTGTGAAACAAAAAAACCCAAGATTTCGTTTCCCCAGGGTTTAGAATGGCCCAGAGTGAACATTTTTAAATGAGTAAAAAAATAAATATTAGAAGAGTGGCTCATCTCCCGCCTTTATAATGTCTCTTTGAGAGCTGCAAATCTTACGTCCAATTATGAATATAATTTATATATGAATATAATGTTACATGCTTGGTGTTCATGAAAAGCCAGTTTTGATGAACTTCATGTTTTCTCATCGCCTTCTATTTTATCTGTGAGTTTTAAGGTGCAAAGCACATTTTCATCATTAATTTTCATGCTCATAGTACATGCTTAATTCTTATTGTCCGAAACCTCTGTGGCTTAAATTTAAGACCGCAAGGATTAACAAGAATAAGTCTTGCTCATGCCACAAGATTTTTTTTAGGTCAGGCAGCGCAATGTCTCCGCCCCCTTCAAACTATATTCATACGGTGTTTTGTCAGTCAGAGCTCACTGATTGTCTTCATGATGACCATCATCTCTCTGCTCCTGCTGGCCTCTCTGCTGCCACACCTGACCTTCACTGGTGAGACTGACCAAAGTACTGAATTGATTCATCTGCTGAAAATTAACTAACAGCACTCTCTTGCTCTCAGCTCATGTGAATGTGGGTATAGTGAACGGCAGGGAAGCAAAACCCCACTCCAGACCTTACATGGTTTCTATTCAGATTTCTGGGCAACACGACTGTGGTGGATTCCTCATTTCTGATCAGTGGGTCTTGACTGCTGCACATTGCTGGAACAGGTAAAAGTTTTGATTACTTTTAACTGAAACATTAAGTTAAAATCACTTTTGACAGACAAAACACCTGCAGTGCAACAATACAATGCATCATATGTCATAAATAAGCATCATGACTTCATAAATACATTTTTCCAAAACACTCTTTCAACAGATATGCGATTCTGACGGTTGTTGTTGGTGCTCATGACTTAAGCAATATTAAGATTTTGGATCGCATCAGAGTGAAGTTCTACATCCCGCATCCAGGCTACTTAATCAGTTCTTTGCGGAATGACATCATGCTTTTGATGGTAAACATCATACTACTTGTTACTACCATCATACAATATCTGGTCAGGAAACAGATTTTGAATAACATTCTGTATGACTTTCTTTTGCAATTTCTTGCTAAAAATACAAGAAGGGACTTACTTTCTAACCTTTGGAATACAACAAGTGCCTGTGGTTTCTTGTGGTTGTTATATATATATATATATATATATATAACAACCACAAGAAACCACAGGCACTTGTTGTATTCCAAAGGTTAGAAAGTAAGTCCCTTCTTGTATTTTTAGCAAGAAATTGCAAAAGAAAGTCATACAGAATGTTATTCAAAATCTGTTTCCTGACCAGATATTGTATGATGGTAGTAACAAGTAGTATGATGTTTACCATCAAAAGCATGATGTCATTCCGCAAAGAACTGATTAAGTAGCCTGGATGCGGGATGTAGAACTTCACTCTGATGCGATCCAAAATCTTAATATTGCTTAAGTCATGAGCACCAACAACAACCGTCAGAATCGCATATCTGTTGAAAGAGAGTTTTGGAAAACTGTATTTATGAAGTCATGATGC